GTTGTTCAATTTTAACAAAATTTGATATAAACATATAAAGTGATATGAACTTTCAATCCAACGGTTGGATTTACAAAATTCACATTTAATATAAGATTATTAAGCGGTGTAATACTTAGTAAAAGTTACACCGGTGTTATTATAACCTTTCTCATTTTAAAATATATAAATTATTATTTAAACTTTTAAATTTATAATAAATAATTTAAATTATATCATAATATTAATTTTAAATAGAAATAAGTAGATTGTTAATTATAAAAGTAAGTATATATATAAATAAAGATTAACTAAATATAATATAATTATTATTAGTAATATAATTATTATATATTTATAATGGTTCGGACACACCGGAATGAGAGGGATCCAAAGATAGTATAAGTATGAGATTGTATAGTTCAGAATGACTTAAATGAATTAATTAGTACTACTTATACTGACAACATGTATCTGCTTTTTTGTAGCTTATCTCATCAGAACTCCACAGTTAAGTGTGCTTGACTTGGAGTAATACAGGGATGGGTGACCTAGTGAAGTATTGTGAATATGAAATCGATCCTTAAGAAGAATAACAACCGAATTTGAGACGTCTAAAAAATTTAATAAAATAAAAAATAAATATTTAATAACTGATTTAGAGGCAGTTAGTGCAACGGGTGCTGTAAGGGTCGCAATTCCAATTTTGCGACGGTTTGGGCAACGGTTCCAGTAACCGTCGCAAAATTCACTCGTGACGAACATTTCTGCGATAGTTGGTGAACCGTCGCAATGGTGTCTTTGCGGTAGTTCTAACCATCGCAATGTAGGTCATATAACTATCGCAAAATCTTCATTTTCTTGTAGTGAATTGATTGTTGGTGATTGTCAACAATCTGAGAGTACAAGCTCATTATCTGATGAGGTAGTAGATTCTTGGACAGTTGCAACAGTTGGTTTCTGATTTTTCTTTTTTGGACAGTCATTCTTCTAGTGGTCGAGTTCTTTACAGTAATTGCATATATCTTTTGGGTTTATGTGATTACCCTTTGAATTTTTCTTTCCCTTGTCTTTCTTCTTCTTGTTATTCTTTGAAGGATTAGTAACAACAAGTCCTATGCCATTTGGTTCCTCGGTACTTGCAGAAGCTTTGTGTCGTAGGTCTCTCAAGTGTAGACTTGCTTTCACTTCCTCTAGAGTGATGAAATCCTTTCCAACACTTAGAGAGTTCACAAAACTCTCATATGAAGGTGGTAGCAAAGCTAGAAGGATCATTGCAGAATCTTCATCTTCAATCTTGACATCAATGTCTCTGAGTTCCATCAAAATTGAATTGAATTCATCTAAATGTTCCTTTAGTGAAGTACTTTCCTTCATGTGCAAGCCAAACAAGCGACGCTTCAGCAGTAGCTTGTTACAAATGGACTTTGTCATGTAGAGCTTCTCAAGCTTTAACCATAGACCACAAGCTGTTTCTTGATCTGCAACTTCATAGAGCACTTCATCTGATAGAGAAAGTAGAATCAAGGAATGTGTTTTCTCTTCTTGTTCTGCAAGATCTTCCTTCTTTATGGAGGTTGATTTGGACGATTCAGTTTTGCTCTCTTTCTTTATGGAAGTGGTAGCCAAGGGACCCCAAACTCTTTGTTCCTTTAGTAGTGCACGCATCTTGATACGCCAGAGGTTAAAGTTGTTCTTACCATTGAATTTTTCAATCCTGATGGTGTTCATCATGGTTCTCGATCGCTTTCTTTTTCATAGTAGCAGCGGAAGCTAGAAAATATCATATCAGAGTTACCTTTTGAAAACGAAATTTGGCCCCTTCTTGATTGCAACATGTGCTCTGATACCAGTTTGTTGTGAATCTGTTGAACAAAATAAAACACAGCCAAGGCAAAGGAAAGCAGAAACAGAGTAAAGAGAAACAGTAAAAGAGAAGAAAAAAAAACACACAAAAAATTTTACGTGGTTCACCCAATTCCAATGGGTTACATCCACGGATGACAACAAATTCTCTTTTTCTTTATTTAGTATTCAGAGTTGTATGTATATCACTCTCTTTTCATTCTAAGGTTTATATGTATATATAAACCAAAGCGTACCCAACAGACAAAATTTCAGCTAAGATAGATACAAACGCATATCTAACAAGTGGAGCTAGTTTTATATTTAATAGTTTATATTTAGCAGAACGACTTGCAACTACATTAAAAAAAATCTTTATTTACTGTGAAAAAAAATCTTAATCTCATACTCATCGTTGGACACATGCACTAGTATAATATGAAATATAACTTTATTAGCGTCCCGCCAATTAGTTTTCATGTTCAATATATGATAACGTTATGCTGAAATATACTTATGCGTGGTAGCGTAACGTATCTTTTATTAATCCTTTAAAATATATTTTCTTTAAATGGTCTTTGTAACATTCATTTTATTTACGTTACTTTCCTAAATCATAATTGGAAGAAGAAAAAAAATACCGCACATGCACAATTACATGAGGGATGTTTATTTCTCCATCACCCTCGTTATTATATTTATACATCGCATTTCTCTTTCATCCTAATTTTCTTTTCTCTTTATTATTTCTCATGTAATATAATCTACTGAATTTAGAATCTTTAACTTTAAAATATGAAAAGATAACTTAATAAATTTAAATTATTAAACTTATAATAATCAATCAAATTGTAATACGTGTACACGTATTATTACAAATTCAACCATTTAATTTAAGTATATTAAGTTATCGTGACTTAACCCGTCCATCAATCCCCCATTGCGTAAGCACGCGGTCATCAACAGCATGTTCCATGTTGACATCATGGGGACGTTGACTTTTGGAGTTCCTAACTAAACTCACCCCCTTCTGATCACTTTCCATCTTCTCCTCCATTCTGGAAACCACATGAATCATATACTCCGTCGTAAGCTTCACCGGCCCCTCCACCTCAACCTTCAACCCTTCTCTTCCCTCCTTCCTTATTCTTATTTTCACGTGCATGGTCTCTTCGCCAACGATGAAGTTGTATGTTGCGGCCTTCACCCTCTCCGTTACGTCGTTCTCGTCCTTCTTCTTCACCACCGTGAAACATCCTCCGGGACCGCTCTCCCGACACAAGCAACGTATGACTTCTCTGTCTTGCAGAGGCGGCGCACAATAATTCTCCTTACACGAATCATACGAGCCCATAAATTTCGTGTTCATGTAATTACATATAATGCCGTATCTGAATGTAAAAAGTGCATAAATATATTAATCATTTATTTTGCATTAATAATATAATTAAGAATAATAATGGTTGTACCTGTCATTTCTGGTGACCACCAGGTACAGATTTGCGGAAGAACCCTTGCCACTATCTTCGGAGAGGTTGATGTGTACGACGTTTGCGTCCTCTAGGGTGACGTTTAAAGTAACACGTGTCTTGCCGAGTAAGTATGTGATGCACGTTTGCGAAGAGAACTTGCCCGTTTGGAAGTCGGTGGATTGTTGCATTTGGGTGTTGACCTCCAACGAACCCACTGATTTAAGCATCACAACATTCTTATTTGCTCGCATTGCTGCTGAAATTATTAGTGTGTGATTATCTTTGCTGAATCCATCGCTCCTTTATAGGTAAAAGTGAACCTACGTACAGATTCGAAGCGTTAAAAAAATGCAAGGCATATATAAAGAGGCATGCATCTACAAAATAAGATATTGACGGCAAGAGAGAGAGAAAACAGAACATTATAGTAAGGAGAACGGAGCAAGACCCAAAGGATTATGTGAGAATGGAAATAATAGATCCAGAAATTTTAGATAGTGAGATAATATTTATTTATATATTTATATTATTAAAAATTTTATATATAACTTTTAAAAGTATAAATATATATTATAATTATTTTTTTAAAAAAATTATATCAATTATTATGAAATAAATTAGGTCTAACTATATTATATTATAATTTAATAAGTTTAAATTTAATTTTTTTTAAATGTGTCTTAAATATGATTTATTTTTCTATCATAGACATTTTTTAAATGTTTGGTTAAAATTACAATTCTAAAAATATAATTTATAATAATTTAATACTAATAAAAACATAATAAACATGTTAAATTGTATAAAAATCAAGTGTAATTTATTTATGATATAAACATATTTTTATATCTAATATAATTTTTTGGATGATAATTTATTTCAAAATATATTTTATAATAAAAATTTTAAATAGAATATAAATCTTTCAATATTTCCTATTTTAAATTTTTTAATCAATGTATATAATTTTTATTTTTTTGATTTTTTTGATCAATATATGAATAAATAGAAAGTATAAAAGGTAAAGCATACATGTTGCAAATTTTATTTTTATCAAAAATTAAAAATTTTTAAAAAATTAATTCGTTATTAATGAGTATTTTTTGTCATATATGAAAACCGATCTCCTTTAAAAATTTGATAAATATCAATTAAATGAATAACTATTTTAAATTTATATTTTATATATATGATAATTTAAATATATATATATATATTTATTTATTTTATTAAAATATAATATTTATTTTTAAAAATATATTATTATTTTATATATAAAAAATATGTGTATAAAATGGTAGTATGGACAAGTGCCCCACCCTCTTAGACATAGATCCGTCCCTGGAAACGGAGATTCTGGGTTTTATTTCTCCCTCTTCTACACTTTCCCTATATACCACAATTAATATCAAAGTTATAATATAAAATATCAATAAATAATATCAAATTAACACGGATTATTTCAGTCATTAATATTCATATAAATATATAATCACGTATATAGTATACTGGCGTCTAAGGAAAATAAATTAAAATAAAATAAAATAAATAAACTAATTATCGAACCTGTCGCTTCTTATGACCCGTAGGTTCAATTTGGCAGAAGAGAGAAGCAAAGGTTCGATCGAACGCTTGTGAGATTGTGTAGTGGTTCGAGTTTCATTTTTCAGTACAGACACCATGCTGCAAATTTAAGCACATGGAACCACGAAAATAATAAAGAGAGGACATAGTTACTATTAGTTTTTGTACCGTCCCAGTCGGATCCCGATCTGATACTCTTTATAGGTATTGATCATATGACTCTTGAATATGGGTAGTCTCGGTCAGCAGGCGATCGAACTTTCCACGTATGTAAGATCAGTCGGACCTCGATCTCACCCACTCCCCAGTGAGCTCGGCCAGGGTGTGCTCGGCCAGGGTGTACTCGGTCATGGTGACCTCGGCCAGGATGAGCTCGGCTAAGGTGAGCCCACCAGGATGAGCTCGACCATGTTGACATCGGCCATGGTGCAGTCGGCAAAAGTCCGAGTGGGTCTCACGTCAGGTGCTCCGAGGATTAAGGATGACAATTCTATCTCACTTCAGGTTCCGGGAAACCACGATTCTACATGATGACATGATTATCAGCTTATTTCCCGATATGATTCTCGACCTATTTTCGATGTGGTTCGAAGGGGCAGTTGCTTTATCCCTTTCGCCTTATAGGCTTAGGGCTGGAAGGCAAGTGTACCGTCTCGGTCAGATCCCGATCTGATACCCTTTACAGGTTTTGATCCGATGATTCTTGAATATGGGTCTTCTCGGTCGGACTGCGATCTCACCCACCTTCTGGACGAGCTCGGCCAGGGTGTACTCGGCCATGGTGATCGGCCAGGGTGTGCTCGGCCATAGAGAGGTCGGCCAAGTGTACTCGGCATGGTGAGATCAGCTAGGATGTGCTCGGCCATGGTGAGATCGGCCAGGGTGTGCTCGGCCATGGTGATCGGCCAGGGTGTACTCGGCCATGGAGAGATCGGCCAGGTTGTACTCGACCATGGTAATGATCGCCCAAAGTCCGAGTGGGTCTCACCCCTTGGACTGGTCCGAGAATCAAGGATGAAAAGCCTATCTTTGATAATCAAATATTCCCAGGGAAAACCGTTATGAAAATCCTCGCGCTCACAAGGCCCAGGAGGCCCATGAACAGAAAAGCATAAAACCTAAAACCCTAAAGCTAAGACGGCAGATTACACTTTTGAATGCTCTGCCTCTAAGGCACGATCTAGGAAAAAACCCTAGTCCACAATGATTTCTAATTTTTTTATATAAAAAAAAATTAGCTTGTAATTCAACCGATCATTTGTCAATTTTTGTTGTTCAACATTTTTTATACTAATTAGCATTTACAATCATAGTTATAAAAATTGGACCAAACTGGTTAATCGAACCAGTTGAACCAAAAATTGATCCAAAATCAATTCAATTAATCTATAAAAAATCATTTTGCTGCAAATCAATAAATAAAAATGATAGCATTAATTTAGAATTGGTCAAAATTGATAAAATTGATCAAACTCACTTCAACCAATTCAATTAAAAAAAATATTTTTTAAAAATTTAATTTAAAATGTATTTTATTAAAATAATATTTGAGCAAAAATTATAATTAGAATAATTTATTTTTAATATTTCTTTCATAAACATAATTTAATAATTATGTTAATTTATCATTTTTAATATCTTTATTTTTAGATTTTATATTATATTATTTTGCTACTTTTTATTTCAGATGTAAACTTATTATTAATAGACATTGTTATATTTTATTAAAATTTAAACTTAAATATAATATTATATAATTTAAAATTATATGTGTATATTAAATATTAAAAATTTATGAATAACATTTTATTTT